TATATATATATTACAACCACCTAGATATGGAGCCTGAGAAGACTTGGTTTTGCAGATTGAACAAATCTTTATATGTGTTAAAGCAATCACTACGATAGTGGTATAAAAAGTTTGATCAAGTCATGATGAAACATAAGTACATGGGGAGCTAAATTGATTATTGTGCATAATTTAAAAGGTTTGTCAATAGTGACTTCATCTATTGCTTTTATATGTTGACAACATATTGATTGCATTTACTGGTCAGACTGAGGTTTATACAATGAAGAAACAAATATCGGTTTATTTTTTGATGAAAGAGTAAAGTGAAGCTCACAAAATTCTTTGCAAGGAAATTCTCGGGGAAAAGATAACTACAAAGGTTTGGCTCTCGCAAGAAGTACAAGTTCAAAATGTGCAAAAGTGGTTTGAGGTTGATGACTTGAGCAAGGAGGTGAGTCTACCAATTGCATCTTATTTTAAGTCGAGTTCATATCAGAGTCATAATGATGATCAAGAAAGAAAGAAATGAAATCAGTTCCTAACACTAATATAGTGGATAGTCTGATGTATGACATGATTTGAATCATACATTCTCAAGTGGTTGGTGTTGTGAGCAGGTTCATGTCAATTTGGTGTTTAAAAGGCAACATCTATTATTGATTTGTGTGTAGGCTACACTAATTCAGTCTATGTAAGAAATATAATTGACCCAGGTCTACGATTGAGTATTTATTTACATTAACATGAAGTCTGGTTAGTTGGAGATCATTTCTTAAATATGATATCGTTTTGTCTATTATTAAGGTTAGTCTCTGAGATAATGAAGGAAGTGATATGAATCAAGGGTCTGCTAGATGATTTGGGAGTTGATTAGGAGTCTCTGGCGATGTTCTATAATAATTAGAATGTAATATTCTTACCCATAAATCTAGTTTATCATACCAGTACCAAACACAATAATGTGAGGTGCAACTTTGTTTGAGACTTAATTGATGATGACAATGTTCTGTTGAAAAGATAGATATGAAGAAGAATCCAACGGATATGCTCACGAAGATACTTTCAAAAGCTCATCTACTACAGAAATTTGGTGACATCAAGCCTTGATCCCTTCACGAGGGGAGTATATAGGCAATCATCATGGCACAATATAGTCGTTGTGGTGTTGGAGCTCATTTTAGTTATCTCCCACTTATCTGCAGTTTTGATCGTCAATGTTAATATGAAAAATATTAAATCTAATTGTTGTAAATTAGAAAGTGCCTATGTTAGAAAAATTGATATTATGTAACACAATTTTAGAAGATTTAATTATATGATCTTTTACTTATTATGAAACCTAATTAGAAGAGATCTATTACATAATATTTTCTATATTTAAAATATTCCTAATTTGTATGCCATAATTCTCTCTTACTTATAGGAGAGCTTATGGAGGATTTAATGTATGTTGAGTTGTAACCTTAATGCTCCTTTTTTTTTTCTCCTCACTCGTTGATAGTCGAATAACCTCTCCCTGTGGACGTAGGCGGATTTGTGCCAAATCACGTAAATTGCAATATGTTTACTTATTTGCTTGTTGTTTTAATTTGTTTTCTACATTATTTTGTCCTTTTTTTTTTAAGCTAAATAAGTTCTTCCACGTTCATATATCATGATAGGAACATAAAGAAAAAGGAGTTAACAGGGATTTTAACAAGGAAGATGTTCCGCTAAAAACAGGAATGGAAAACCATGTTATTTTTGTGAAGAGAATGAAATTTAGGTGTTAGAAAATTAGCGTTAGCTCAATTAGAATATTAAATACATAAAAATAAAAATGAATAAAAACAATATATTCTGTACGTTAAATATTCAAAAATGAAAAAAATTATATAGTCAAGCCCAATCAAGATAGTTCACTATGTAATTAAAATTAAAAATTTATATAATCTTCTCCTCAAAAGAAAGAAAATTAAATTACAAAATTGTTAACGTTTGGTTATCATTCTCTCTTAATAAGAATTGATAGATGACAACATTAATAAGCTTGATTAGGTAATAATATACTAGAGATAACAATTGAGTAATCATAATTATACCACAAGAGTTGTGTTATGACAATTACTGGCGGTGATTGACGATTGTTAAAGGTCGTTGATCTTGCCTTTCTTTTTTGTGAGTTCACATTTAACTCTTGGCTCTCTTTGATCTCCCTATTAGGGCTGTCAATTTGGCTCGTTGTTCGTGAACAGCTCGTGTTTGGCTCGTTCGTTAAGCCTAACGAGTCGAACACGAAAATTTATATAACTTTTTATATAACAATATATTACATATATTATTTATATAATAATATATTATATATATTTATGTCTAAGTTTAAATCATAACACCTCATGTGACAATGTGGTTAGTGCCTTCTTTTGTATATATTTGATCCAGGTTTGAATCCCACACTTTACATCTATTTTTCTCAATTTTAGTTTAACGAGTCAATTTCGAGCCGAACACGAACACGAATATTTAAATCGAGCCGAACACGACTATACTGTTCACGAGCCAATTTCGAACACGAGCTATGTCAAATGAGCCGAACACGAGCCAAGTCTGAGCTCGCTCAAGCTCGACTCGTTTATAGCCCTACTCCCTATATATGGAGAATATGTGTCTATTTGTTACTTTTTAGAATAGCAGTTTGATAAAATTAGTCAACATCCCAATAATATTCTATTAAACAATCAATATTGATTTATTTGATCATAATTTTTTTTTTTTTTACATTTAAGTCTTCTCAATGACCTAGGTTTATTGGATTTATCGTGTCGAGACGTTCAATCTGACTTAAAACATTTTAAATTCATCGATCTATTAACTTTTCAATTAAAATTTTAAACTTTAAATTATATTTGAAGTATCTAAAATGGGCTCATTTAGAGTTAGATCAAATCACATTTAGTGGTGCTAGTTATGTATTGTTGCTACTTTCCATTTAAATATAAATTTGTGAAACTTGGAGCTTCGATGATTTTGAATTTGACTTTGAAAGTTATCTCATAAAAAAATGCATGATGATTTACGTCTGAGCATTTTGATTTTATTTCAACATATAGAAGTTAAAGAGGTGAAATTTATGTCATAGTATAATTGGTTGCTTGTTGTATGAGGGATGGCATAGGTTAGCAAATTTGAATTAAAATTTCAATTACATACTATGACATGTTTAAGCTGAAATTATATATATTTTTTATTTCTCTTTGCAATGAAAAATATAAATTAATGTTTAAGCTGATGAAAAATATATGACATTATGGTGCTTTATAGATCTGAATTAACTTATATCAACTTATATTTGGTGTAAAATCCTGTAAGAATTAACTTATATCAACTTATATCAACTTATATATATATATATATATTGTAGAACTATCTGTCACTTAAAAATAGAGAGTAATACCATTCATAAGAAGATCATAACATAGATTAAAAATTTTTGATGAAGTGATTGAATTAAACTTGTTTATAATTTAAATATTTAAAATACATGGGCTTATGATTAAAATGCATTTTTAGTAACTTAATGATTAAACAGACTTCTTGCACTCACCACTCCCCAACTAATAATATAAATTTTCAAAAGACAATTAACTTAAATATTTGAAAATCATACACATGAAACAACATGATAAATTAAATAACACAATTACTAGAATAATTATAATGTCAGGACACTGTTTGAGCGAAGGCGCGGATCACACCACGTTGCTATACACAAGGCGTGGTGTGATCCAGGACATCATCCAGATAGCTGGACGACAAACGTAGCTATATCTAAATCTCCCTTGTTCCTTCCCACCACTCCTCCCCTCCTTCAAATAGTTTACATATCCCATCCATAAAATATACAGCAACTTAGAACTGTTTCAAAAGCTCCCCTTCCATATCAAACAAAGAAGTTAGCCAATTTATGTTCTCATCATCAGGAAGGTAACAACCATCATCATTCAGCATCCAGCTCTCAAAATCCTGCATTCCGTTGAACTCCATCAAATCCTCATCAGCAAACACTGCATTATATTCATCAAAGCTGCAGTTCCAGACTACATTCTCCTCCTCCTCCTGAAGCAGTTCTTCTTCAGCAATGGTGCTGGCTTTGGTGTTCTGATTAGGCAACACAGAAGCCACTGCTGCAGTTGGTTCTCCTACTAGAAAACCCAATTGGCTGCACCTCAGGGCCTTGGGTCTATTCAAAGTTTTGTTATTTGTGGATTGAGGTGATAGAGAAGATGATGGGGATGGCAGTGCTTGATTTGAAGCTGGTGGCTTTTGTGATGGATGCTGTGAGGTTGTCTTCTTCGCCAAGGTTGTGTTCCAGTAGTTCTTTATTTCGTTGTCAGTTCTGCCTGGTATCCTCCCAGCGATCAGAGACCATCTATAAATTCATCAGACGGATAGGATTAGAAACTTTGTGCTGAGTTTTTTTGGTGATGGTTTGTTTGAGTGGTACCTATGGCTTGTTTAGGTTGCCCTTTTTGAAAAAAATTTTGGTTTTCTTTTTTTGTTTGTGAATACAAAGTTATTATATTTTGATTTTCAGTTGGGATTTTAACGAGTATATGCATTCAAAAACATTTTTTTAAAGTAAATTGTGATGTTTCAATGCACTCAAAAGTTGAATGGCAACATTCAAAATTTATTTGAATGGTAAAAGGGACTCTCTGAGTTTTATAAATTTATAATCAAGATAAGCAACTTTTCATAATAGTACTTTTAACTCTAAAAATGTCCTGATTTGAGCTTTCTTTGAGCTAGATCTACTCAACATGTACGAAATTGATCGATTAAGTTGAGGGAAGGAGGGAGGGTTCACTTTGGTAGGTAAGAAGATTTGGTGATGGGTCCCCATTATTGCTCTATCCATACAAATATAATCCATAGCCTCTGATTGTCTCAGAGCTCATTGGATTTTACATAATTCTTCCATTTAGATGTAGAGTTTTTAGAATTTTGATGATCCTTACAAACTTTGAAATTATTAGCTATTTGAATCATTGAATAATTATTAAAGAGATGAATATTTTGACATAAAATAACATATCATTATTGTCTTTTTCTAAAAACCTAAAAATTGATCTATGATTTATCATTCATGGACGTTGATAAGATCCTTCCATTTAGCAGCGCCTTAGGATGGTCCATTTAAGCAGCGCCTTAGGATGGCATAGCCTTCACGTGAATCCTATTAAATGCTTGGTAAATGAATGGCATGATGTGGACCCGCCAATGCTCAAATCAAAATAATTTTTTTTGGTAAAAAGTGTTTAAATGTCTTTTATTAAGTCTACAAGTAGAGTCTGCTTATTTTATTAGAGGCATATAAAAGCAATAGGCATTAGATGATGAGAATTCCATACCATTAATAGCCACCTACAGAAACAACCAATTATCTTTGGTTTCTTTTATCTGACATTCCTTGTAAACTATTGGTCTGCAATTTTTTTCCTTCGATTAGAGCGACTATTTTGAACATCTCCATTTGCCCATTAGAGTCTAGTCATATAATATATACCTCATACTAGAATATCAACCATCCTCATCAAATCCACTTGCTCTTTAACCTAAGTTATTTAATTCTTCCTAATCTCAAGAAAGGAAACGAGTTGATTGTATTTGAATTTTCATTGGTTCCATATTTCCATACTCCCTTCCTCCAGAAGAAGGATGATTGAATTATATATAATCATATACTGACATTGGGTTACCCAATTTTCTCCTTTTAGAAGAAGCATAACAACGTAGTGTGAGAAAATCTATAATCCCGCATATTCAAGAGATCACATGAAGTTCCGATATCATGGGGTAAATAGAGTTGCTCATCATTTTTTTTCTCAATTTCAACATATTGCTTTCATTTTTTGGTTTTTTTTTTCTATTTCTCTATTTCTGATAAAGTTATTTTCAATTAAGGAATTTATATATATATATATATATATGGTATTCTAGCTATTTTAGAGATTAGCCTGATTTAATGTAATATGGAGATCTTTTCTCTTATTTGTGCTCTCTCGGGTGACGTTGGTTCCTTCTCTTGCATGTGATGTGCCTATAGCTTGCCCAAAAATTGGTTGTGAATCCTTCTCGCCTCCCATACCTTGATGTTTCACTATTTGATCATTATTTTCAATATGGACAATAGCAGAATTACTCAATTCTTCTGTCCAAATATAAATTTTTCCTCTGTTGTCTTCAAATACATTGCAAGCTACTATTTCTCCATAGAAAACTACTATTTTTGCTTTTAGATCACTGTCCAAGCGTCGTTCAAGCCTGATGTCATCCGACTTCATTCCTCTCGCTTTCTCCACCCATCCCACAACTTACCTGCCCATTTCCTGTGCTCTGTCACATATATAGGAGCCATATAAAGTTGTTATATAGCATCAAAGCATTAAGTGATTTGTCTTCCTTCCTCGAAACCATAACTCCTCCAAACCAAACCTAATAACACAAAAATCTATTCCGCATCACACACTTAGCGCTAATCCTAGCCATTGCTCTAAATTTTCTAAAGCCAAACTTTCTATCTACACCAAAAATTTGCCTCGACACCTACCATCAAAGTTCTAAGCCTTGACCAACATTTAATATAAGACCCTACACCTACAAAAATTCAACTTAGAAGAAAAGTACACTATGCCAGCAAGAAAAGACACTCAATTAGGTGTTCAAGAGATCACTATGGAGAATATGCAATGAAAATTTCTTCAACTGCAATAAAGGCTTGTTGTTTTTGAGAAATGATATTTTCTTTGATTTTGCTCTCTAGCACATTTTTTTTTTGAAAGTGATGTGTTCGTAGCTTGCCCAAGAATATGAACTAAATTCTCCTCATATCAAATATCTCATTATTTTGACATTCAACTATTTTTTTTCGTCTGAACAACCGCTAAACTGCTTGAATCTACTGTGCACCAACAAATTTCACCTTTTTCATCGTCGAACATACTACCAACTATTGCTCGAAAATAGAAAATTGTTATTTTTTGCTTTCAGGTCATTATTCAACCGCTACTCACACTAGATTTTAATCAATATCATTCCTCCAACTTTCATTATCAATCCCACAACTTATATACCCCCTTATTGTGTTATGACACACATTTTAGAAGCTTTAAAATATTATCATCTAGTAATTGAGCCTTTGATCTACAACCTTGCACTCGCGATACCCGAGGTATGAGAAAAGATGACAGTTCTTCTGTGGAAAAGTCTTAATGATGTGTTTAGGAGAACACATATGAAGCAAAAATACTCCAATTACAATAGAGGCTTGTCGCCTTTGAAAGGAGACAACCGAATGAGATCACCCATAGCTAAAACGCTGACTCGCTGAATTGAGAAGAGGAAATGAATCATTTACATCAAGAAACTTCTAGCAATGAGGAGCCGATGTCGCACAACGTTGGTTTGAATTATTAGAGGAGAAGCTAGGACAAGGAAGCAATAATGAGTTTATCAAATTTTGATGGTTGCGTGAATTCAAATGAGTTCATTTAGTGGTTCCAAATAGTGGAAAAAAATTTCAACACAAAGGTGTTCCCCAATGCAAAAGAATCAAATTGGTAGCAATCAATCGTAGGAAGAACGATTCCATAGTTGGAGAACTTGAAGCATATTTGTCAGTGAAAAGAAAAAAAAAACTAATATCATCATACGATCTAAAATGAAAACGAAGATACAATTCAAATACACTTTTCTGTATTAGTACACTACAGAGATTTTTTAGTGAATGAGTGAACAACTGATCAATTTGATCAACTCATGCATAAATGTAAGTTGGTGGAACCAGAGAAGCATACAATGGTAAGGTATCTTGGAGGATTGATGTCATCTATTAATAATATGATGTTGCCGTACTGGTCCCTACCTAATGTAAGAGCTTTAGCACTGAAAGTGAAGAAATAACATCACTAGGTGACCACCATGCCCCACAAACATCATTTAACCCTAGCACTAGGTAGTGGTAGAGCACCAAGTGGAGCAGCCACGCTGACTCCTCATTGAAAAAAAAAACTTCGCAGTGGATAAAAACTAGAGAACACCAAAAATCCTACATCCATCCCATATCTAAAGTTCTCTGAGTGCTACAGATTTAGGTAGATTGCATCTAAAATCTCAAACATGAGGGTGTTCTCTTTCACCAAACAAAGAGCAGCGAAAAATTTTGACAAAGACACAAGAGATATGAAGTAGGTGAGGACGCTATGAGGAGTACTAGTTTTTAGGCAATGATGGAGTCATGCTCATAATCTAATATCTCTTTAAGAGTGAGCCTATGAGTGTTGATTTTGCCACTACATGTTTCATACTCGTTGCACCGTAAAGGTAAAAGTGTACAAACTTCTTATAGATGAAGACAGTTGTATAAATATGACATCTACATAGATGGTGAACAAATAAAACCTCACTACACATAGACATTCTTAGTTTTTTTTTTATATGGTTAACGAATAAGAATAAAATCAATATTACTATGATGTGTTTGATGGGATTTTCAATTAGAGATAAGATGCAAGATCAAATTTGATGTGATGTATGTCACATTCTTTTTGACCCAACTATGACAATATGATTGGGGTACATTTTACGATGGCAATAAAAACACATAATAATTCACCAAAATTAGGAAATGCATTTTATTATTGCTTTGGAAGTAGTTCAAGATAACATATTTTCATACAGAATTTAAGAATGTGATTTTAGAAACTATGTTTTTGCAACCCCTAAGAGAAGGCACGTAGGACTAGCTTGTTCAAGTAGGCGATGAGTTTGAAGAGTCATCTTTTCAAACACAGATGAGAAGTTTTTGAACTATTTATGGAAGACACTATGTATTAAGTTGAGTACCAGGTTCCACTTCAATTTAGGTATACAGAATTAGATTGGTGGTCAAACAAGAATAATAAAACATAGCTTTGAAAATCTTTTTGAGTGGTTTAATGGAAAGAATATTTGACAATAGGACCTAGATCCTTCTAGAGATGCGAGAGTGACACAGTGCAGAAAAACTTCCACAATCGCTCATTCCTGTGGGGTCGCAAGAAGTCTCGTAATAGTTGGCCCAACAAAGACATCCATTTTTTATTGCAGGAGATTTATTTCATTTCAACTTTTTTTCCTTCTAATTTATTTCTATTTAGGTTATTTTTTATTATGGAACTTTTATATATGTGTTATTTGGCAGTTTTAGGAAATAGCATGATTTTATATACAATGGAAACTTTTTTTCTTATCATTACTTTCTAGATGGATGCAGCCTCATTCATTTGCAAGTGGTGTTTTTGTAGCTTTCCAAAAAATGGAAAACGAGAAGAAAGTTTGGTCATCATGGTCTGCGAGGTGAGAAAACTACAAGTTTATCTCTCTAGGAAA